AGAGGAGGGAGGTCAGGGTGGAGGAGAGGAAGGAGGAGGAGGAGGGGGAAGGAGGAGGAGGAGGAGGAGGAGGAGGAGGAGGAGGAGGAGGAAGGAGGAGGTGGAGGAGGGGAGGGAGGAGAGGGGGTCCATCGCAAGATCCAAGAAAAAGAAGTACGCGCGGGCAGTCGTTGATGCAGTTGCTTCATCCGCCGAGAAGGGGGCAGCCTAGGGAAAGGACGGTAGGGGACAGACGAAAGCAAGGGCCGCTAGTGGGTGGCAGAGGGAAGCCAACAAAAAAACAGAGAGGATTGCACGAAAGAGAGGGAAAAGGAAAGAAAGAAAGGAGGAACCGGTGGGAAACTCAACAAATCCGAATACAAAGACCCAAACATAAGTATAGAGCAATAGAAGAACAAAGAACACTAACAGACGCAGACACATAAACACAAAAAACAAAACCACCAAACCCCAACCACCCAAAAACAACAAACATAAAACTAATCAAGAAAGAAAATACTATAAGACCGAAGCCTTACTACTAAGACGAATAAGCAACATCAGAATCCTCAATAAGAAATGAAAATAAGAATAAGCAAAATCAGCATCTTCTCCTGCCACCTCCTTTCTCCTCATTCATTCCTCCTCTTCCTCATCGTCATCCGCCTCCTAATCTACTCCTCATCTCCTCCTCCTCCTCCTCCTCCTCCTCCTCCTCCTCCCCCAGATCCCCTCAGAGTGGCGGCCGGTGGCTAGCTGCAAATCGTCTTGCAGCGGACGTCTTGACTTCTCGCGTCCAGCGGCAGAGCGACGCCAAAATCATACGCATCCTTTCCAGAGGGCGGCTGGGCAGAGCGCAGCCAGCAGCAGGGAGCAGCCGGCCAGCGCTGTCTCCTTGGCAGGAGCTCGCCAGTCCTAATCCCACGTTGGGTAACGTTTGCTGTGCGTGTCGCGCCGCCGGTTCTGGCCCACCACGCTGCGGCGCGACATGCTAATCATGACCCAGCCCCCGAGCATCAATGGCCCGAAGCGCCGAAGCATCAACGTCCCGAGCCTTCCGAAGCCTCCCGCCCCGCGCAGCGGAGCGATACGCTACCGGCTCGCAGGGCATAGGTAGCGTGTCGCCGGGACCGCTGCCCCGACACGCCCAGCAAGAGTTCCAGACCGTGACTCGGCGGCGAGCCAGGGGGGAGAAATGAGAAGGGGCTGGCCTTCTCAGAAGGCCCAGAAGCCCCCCAGGCCTTCCGAGAGGTTTCCCAAGCAGGAACCATCGCAGAGGGCTGGGGCGCTTCCGAGGAGCCCCGATGCTCTCCGATCGATGGCCTTCTCTCCTCCCTCTCCCCCCCCCCTCGCTGCCCTCGCTCGCCGCCTCGCAGCCCCGATCCTCTCCGCGTGCAGCCGTTCAGGCTTGAGGGGGGATGGGGGGCCCGGGGCCGCGCGAGAACTCCGCGCGGCCGCCGGTGTCGGCGAGGCCGTAGTTCGTTAGGTCGCCTCGCCGAGCTCGTCGGGGCCCGGGGTTGGAGGGCAGCCGCCGCCCTCTGCGGACCCTTCCTGCGGGGATTTCGCTGGTCTCCGTGGGGGGGCGGCGACGTACAGTCAACCCGCATAGGAAGGATGGGCAACCTTCCCAAGGGTACCCTCGTATCCCTGCCTCCTCGGTCTATCCTCGACCACTTCCGTTGGCCGCGCCCTGGTCGGGAACCTTCGACATGGGTTCCCAAGTCCCTTTCATTCTTATCGCGCATCCTTACTATACGGGTTGATTGTAATTAGACATCTGGGCCTTCCCGGCGCTGGGCCTCCCAGGCGGGGTCGGAGCCGATGGGGTCGGAGAATCGCGCCGCATGCCGATGGGCCTGTTTCCCACCACCACCATAAGCTGGAGGGGGGGACGAGCTGAAGGAGGAGGAGGAGGAGGGGGAGGAAGAGGAGGAGGGAGAAGAGGAGGAGGAGGAGGAGGACCCCGCCCCCTCCTGCTTGTAGTAATGGCGGTGGAAACGAAGCTCACCAGATGCGGCTCGAGCTTGATGCGGAGCCCGATTTTCTCCACGCCAGCGTCGCCGATGCATCGCTGATGCATCGCCGACGCCTCGCCGATGGTGATCGGCATGGGGGCGCGATCCTCCCATCTACGAGGCCCCTACCAAGGGGGTCCGAGTAGGCCCGGATGTCGATGACGCGAACTTGGCAATGTGTGTTTGTGTGTGTGTTGTGTGTGTGTGTGTGTGTGCGTGTGCGTGCGTGCGTGCGTGCGTGCGTGCGTGCGTGTGTGCGTGCGTGTGTGTGTGTGTGTGTGTTCGGGGCTGTGCGTGCGTGCGTGCGTGCGAGCGTTGCGTGCGTGTGCTTGTGTGTGTGTGTGTGTGTTTGTGCGTGCGTGCGTGCGTGCGTGCGTGCGTGCGTGCGTGCGTGCGTGCGTGCATGTGTGTGTGTGTGTGTCTGTGCTTGCGTGCGTGCGTGCGTGGGTGCGTGCGTGCGTGTGTGTTTTGTGTGTGTGTGTGTTGTGTGTATGCGTGCTTGATTTTTTGTGTGTGTGTGTGTGTGTGTTTCTTTGTGTGTGTGTGTGCGAGTGTGTGTGTGTGTTTCGGCTCCTCCTCTTCCTCCTTGCATTGCGGCCTTAATTTGCATACGGCGTGCCCCCTGTCGCCGTTTCGCCGCAGCAGCCACCTTCTGCCCAGCTGCCGACGCAACAAGTGTGTGTGTGTGAGAGTGTGTGTGTGTGTGTGTTTTGTGTGTGTGTGTGTTATTTGTGTGTGTGTTTGTGTGTGTGCGTTTCTATATATGTGTATATATATATATATATATGTTTTGTGTCAGTGTGTGTTTTTCTTTGTGTGCGAGTGTGCCTGTTTCTGTCTGTTTGTGTGTGCATTTCTTCGTTGTGGCCCTCCTCGGCCGGGCACCACGGGCCCTCCAGAGCCTCGGCAGCGAGCGCGGGCGCGTGCCTTTTTTCAATCTTTGCCTCGGCAGGTCCAGCGCCAGAAGACCTCTGGGAGCATCCAGGACTGAGCCGTGCGCGTCCCTCCACAGGAGGACAAATCCAAAATAGTCCAAACTTAGTCTGGCGACTATTCTGTGGTTATTGTTTGTAGATGTTTGCGTATGTTTGCATTTTTCTCCCAGCATCCGCTTGTATGGGGGACACGCGCGACCTAGATCCAGGAGCATCTGTGGTCACCGTGTGGGAACAGGGCAAAAACACGCGCGAAACCAGAACAGGCACGGGGAAGGGACGTCCGAGCGATGGCCAGAAGTGGCTCCACGGGGCCAACAACTGCCCCCGGGGAAGTGTCTGGGTCCGCCAGTCAACCCGCATAGGGAGGAAGGGCAAGGTTCCCGAGGGTGCCCGTGCATCCTTGCCCCCTCGGTCCATCCTTGGCCACTTTCGTTGCCCGCGCCCCGCTCGAGAAGCTTCGAAACGGCCTTCCAAGGCCCTTGCATCCCACACCGAGCGCGTTCCACGATGCGCAACTTGACACTTCGAAACGTCCGAAAACACACATGCCACCCTCGCTGAATTAGATCGTACATCCCCTGCGTCACATCTGGGCCATTTGCGGTTACTTTGCGAGCAGTGGAGCGCGTTTGTCTAATCCCTATCGTGCAGCCTTATTCTACGGGTCGACTGCATGGGGCCGCGGGTGGGAACCATCCTGGCACCCCTTGCGGCAGAAGACCCCGCCCGGATTTTTTGGATCCGCGCTGGGCCTCCCTGGCGGCGCCTTCGGCGCCGCCCCTGGCGCGCTCCGCGCGCCAGGGAGGGGGGTCCGGCGCAGATCTAAGAAATCCGCGCGGAGCGCCAAGAGTTTATGTTTGTG